TTCCCCGCCCCGTTTCCACCTGTAGATGCAGAATTGATCAGTATTAACGGAGGAGATACTTTTACCAGAACGCAGACTTTACCCAACACAGAAAAGGTAAGAAATGCCCATTATTAGGTCTAAATGAAACATAAAATATTTCCACTATAAAATACACAAGCGTTAAAAGCATAAATAGTTATGATCCCGGATGCATATTTGAATATTCTGCTCTGCATTACGAACAAATAGGCGGAGCTTTTTTTTTTACCTATCACCAAATCACTTTGATAATAAATAAAAAATGTGTCCTAGCTTTTCACACAATTTTATTTGTTTCTTCTATTGAAGAATCTCTAGTTTTGTTTTACTCTGATCCTGAAGTTTATCTGTGCCTTGAAACTCATTTGTTAGTGCTTGTTTACATAAGAAATGTTCCCGATATCCGAGTGTTCAGTCGGTGAAGACTTACCGTGGATTTTTAAATAATCAGAGGTGATATTGCTTTGTCTGATTTTATTGTATAACAATAGGAAAAAAGTATACTGTTAACATATGCAACTGAAGCCACTGTCCATCCTGAAAACAAGTCTTTTCATTGGTCGAGAAATGGGTGCCGTTCCTTGAGCTCCTACAGTAAAATTCAAATAAGTCTGGTCATAATCTTCATCTACGCGTTGGGCTGACTGAGAGCTAACACAGACCAAGTAACATTAATATACACAGCCTTGAAATAATAAATATATAAAGACATTCATTGAACAGCATTTATAGCCCACAGAAGTATTAAGAAGATATTCCATGAGCCGAACTCTCCCAAAGCAACAGCTTATGTATTGGGTCATTTCTTTTTCCGCTGATATTTATCTTACATTTTCTAATTTCTATTCGGATTGTGTGAGTATCAAAATGGCACGAGATGTCGCTCGAGACCACGCAAAGTTATTTTGCCAGGCGCTTGGAAACTCCCCCTTCAGTCATGACATAAAGCTAAAGCGTCATCACCCATGCAGCTTTGTGAAAACGCCAGACGGAGGAGGGGGACTTTATAGAGCCGGGATTCGATGCGAGAATGGATATTTGGAAATCACAGTTTTAGATTTTCTTTTCGGATAGGCAAAGAGGCCGAATCCGGGATTTATCTTTTTGTTGTTTGCTTTTGTGTTTTGCCATGGACAGGATGTCTAGTCGGATACTGTGGAGTCGTTTTGGGAGTCTGTTTCTCACTCTTCTTTGTCTTCTCGAATGGTCCGCTGCTCAAATATCTTATAGCATTTCTGAGGAGGTGGAAAAAGGTACAGCGGTAGGGAATCTTGTGAAAGATTTAAATCTCAGTGTACAGCATTTCCAATCTACGGCGTTTCAGATTACATCCGAGTATAAAAAGCAGTATTTTGATATCAGTCGCGAATCTGGAGTACTTTTTGTGAGTGAAAGAATAGACCGGGAGGAGCTTTGTCCGAATATGGTAAAGTGCTCTTTAAATATTGAAGCCGTTTTAAGTAATCCTCGGAGTCTCCATCGAATTGAAATAGTAATTACTGATGTCAATGACAATACTCCATCTTTTCTTGATGAAACATGCACAGTTGAAATATACGAGTCTTCATATACCGGGGAAAGGTATCCTCTCCCGTTAGCTCATGACGCAGACTCTGGGGCCAATTCGGTAAAGACTTACACCCTGAGCACAAATGAGCATTTTTCTCTAGATATACAGAACAATGGCGACCAGAGTGTGTCTGCTGAATTAGTACTTCAGAAAGCATTAGATCGTGAAAAACAGGCCGTTTTTGAGCTAATTCTGATGGCGATTGATGGAGGAAAGCCCCCAAAATCAGGAACTTTACAGATAAATGTTAATGTTCTGGATGTAAATGACAACTCTCCTGTTTTCAGTAAATCACTTTACAAGGTGCAGGTGGTCGAAAATGCAGAGATTGGCACAGCATTACTGACACTCACGGCTACTGATTTAGACGAAGGTGTAAATGGACAGATCATATACTCTTTTACAGAGAGGGGGCGTTTAAACCCTGACGACAAATTTTCCCTCAATGATGACACTGGAGAAATTACAGTGAAATGCTGTATTGATTATGAGGAAAATAAAGCATTTGAAATTCGTGTTCAGGCTAGGGACAAGGGCAATCCACCGCGCAGTGCACATAGTAAGGTTTTAGTCGAAGTTATTGATGTTAATGACAATGCTCCACAAATATTAGTGTCTTCACTGATGAGCCCAGTGAAAGAGGACTCTGAAAGAGGCACTGCTGTTGCTATGCTAACTGTCATGGACAGAGATGGGGGTAAGAATGGACAGACAAATTGTAGGATAAAAGGTGAGGTGCCGTTTAAACTAAAACTTAACTATAAAAACTATTACTCTCTTTTGGTTGATCGGACGCTAGACAGAGAAAAGGTGTCATTTTATAATTTAACAATTGTCGCTACAGATGAAGGAACCCCTGCTTTGTCAAACACCAGTGTGGTCCCTATTCAGGTTTCAGATGTAAATGACAATCCTCCTCTTTTTGTTGATTCACTAATTAATGTTTATTTAAAAGAGAATAGCCCAATTGGAACTACTATTCATACGCTAACCACATTTGATCCAGATTTCGATGAAAATGCTAAATCAACTTACCATTTAGTGAGCAGTTCTGTTAAAACTGTACAGACTACTTCAATTGTAATAGTAAATTCAGAGACTGGAGACATAGTCAGCCTGCAGTCTTTTAACTATGAGGA